GACACTACCGGTGTGCATCTCGATGGCAAAAGCAGCCACATTATACTGGTACATCGGTAGGAATGCTTCGAGTGGCACGGTACGCTTGCCACTTTTTGATGCGCTGTCGACAGCGCGTTATCGTGGATCACTGATCGTGGATGGTGTCTTCACGCGAGCACTCACAGAACCGGATGCGCAGGTATATTGACATGACCACGTGAGACGCGTAGAACTGCAGTGCTCGGACAACTCGATCGAGTTCGCACCCTGGAATAAGCCAGGTCGTCGCCCACGTTGCGGCTAGCGTTTGGGACCCTGTGCTTTCCTCAACGACATGTCACGCGACCACGCGATTGTGCAGTCCATTTTCCCAAGTGCCGTCGTCTCTGCTTCCCACCAAGATTGATTATTGCATTGCGGAAAAGTTTCCACGAAAATGATGAAAATGATTGCATTTTACAGGAACGCGCTTGACATTGCAGTTAGATCCGTTCTTGGAGCTGATCGCGTGTGATTGCTCGTGATGGGCGCATTTTCCGTCCCACGTGGCGTAATGATGTTGACGGAATTCGCTTAGGCGAGCACATGCGCAGGCCTTTACGCTCCAGCTGCCGTCGACTTCAACCTGTCTCGATCGATGTATGCATGACATTATCACACCACGGTATCCTGACGATGACTCACGCCGCTTTCGCACTCTTACGACAATGCAAACGGACAGAGTCGTCGTGACGGACGCTACCGCCCCACTACCGGTACACAGGAGGCTCCTGCCATGTGCAACAACGAAGCATTATTGAATGGTAGCACGCACGTCGCTTCGACAAGTGGTGGTGGACGACCCGGTTTGTTGACATGGCGCCTGGATATCGAACGATCTGTGTAACGTGCGTTTTGGGTCGCTCGGAGAGACGTCGACTTGACGTCGAGTGTTGAGCGTTCTGTAATTGATGTACAGTAAACGTCACCTTGTCCAGCGCGACTTTACCAGCCTCATCAATTGCTATTATTGAATAGTATGCGTTCCAATATATCCTCCTAGGTACAATACTAGCCACATCATGAAGCGGGCGCGACAACTGGGTTCGCGCTTGGTCCTCGCACGCGTCGCCTGTGCTACAGTCCGAGGTACACCCAGGACTACATCCATCATCTTGCGCTCGTTCGCGTCACACGCATCGTCGTTGATGGGTACTACACTAGTACGCCAAGCGCCGCAACACGAGCGACCGCACCGCACCGACAAGAAGAACGCTGGCGTCGAGCCTTGGAAATGTTGTGTGTACTGTTTAAGCGAATTCGTCGTCGGGTGCCACGCGTGCAACGTGGCCAGCTGCAGAATCCGTGCATTGGTGCCACCTGTCGCGACACCGTCTGATTGGCCATGCGGAGCGTGTCCGTGGTGCAGCCACCACTTGGTCATCGCTCATTGCCCTTTCTGCGCCGAGACGACGAACAGCATTCCAGATGCAGCACGGCGGCGTGACCCTCGACGCCGAGCTCTACGGCCGCCTCAAGCAGCGCGCGCTCAGCCGCGTCCAGACCGAGCTCGAGGCACAGTACGAGCCCGACGTTGCGTACAAGGTCCTCCTCAACAAGCACAATTTCACGGTCGCAACACGAAACGTGCACGACTCGGCGTTCAAGAAGCTCCGCAGCGCAGGCACGTGCCACGACATGACGCTCGCCGACATCCAGTATGCACTCTACACGGCCGACGCGCGCGCGTACCGCGAGTATCTCGCAGTGCTCTATGGCGAACACTATCTCGAAGGCGCGGTGCTCAATACGACGCTGAGCAGAAATGCGCAGGACCCGTTCTTATGGTTTGGCGTCAAGTACATGAAGATCCACCTCCAAGGCAAGGCGGCGTTCGAGCCTCGCGACGCGACGTACGTCGAGGTAGTCCAGTCGATGTTTTTGCTGACGCTGATGATGCTACGGCTGATGAGAATAGTATACGGGCACGACACGGAATCTGCGGGGCGAGACGGTCCTCTTTGTGGTCCGAGAGACGCACGCATTTCCCGAGATCCCTCCGTTCCACGAAGTCGTGCGCTTCCAGTTTGAGCTCGTCCAGCTCTACACGCTGCACAGCGATGGCCGCGTCACCTTTACCTTTACGACGTTCTCGGATCCGAACGGGTCGGTGCCCGGCTGGCTCTACAACAAGACGGCGTTTGGCGACATGAACATGGACGAGAAATTGCCGCCGCTCATCACGATGCGCCGCCTCCTCGAAGCCAAATGCGCGTCCGCTGTCTCGTACGTTGACAACCATAGGACACTAAGGATGCTAATGTGGAGGCCACGAATAGGGTGCCGGCCAAGAACTGCAAGGCCTGCCACGCGTCGTTTTCCGTGTTTCGGTCGCGTTCGACGTGCTCGATTTGTGGCCATGTACGTGTTTTTGTACAGAATTGTCATTTTTCATGTTTTGATTTTCATTTTTTACATAGCACATGTGCAAGAAATGCCGCGTCACGGTCCTCAGCCCCATGCACACCAAGGGGCTTGTCCCGAGCGAGAAGCGCCACTTTTGCAAGGCGTGCGTCATCGACACGCGGCGTGCGTACGAAGCCGAAACGCGGCCATCGTCGCGGTCAACCTACGGTACGTCCATCGTCCGATTGTAACCCAACTGAACGACACGGCAATGTCAATAGACTCGTCCGCGAAGCGGTCGTCCAGTGCACCCAATGTCCAGATACCCGACGAGTGGGGTGTCAACCACCGGTATGGTCTCTCGACCTCCAGCGCCCCCTCGGTGCTTGAAGCCGACACGGAACACGACGTCGATATCGAAGACGTGCGCGGCGCGTCGATCCTCTCACAGACCGAGCGGCCGCATCGACGCACGTTGAGTCTCTATGACGAGCACGAGATGCGCGAGACGTTCGAGCAAATGAAGCTATCGCTGGACAACCAAAAGCAACTGCTCTCGGATATGCAGCGGCAGTTTACGGCTCAGTTTTAGTCGATCGTGTCTACGTGTGCAAAAGAATGTCAAGTGTTGTGTGTTGTGCATCGTTTTATCAAGATCGACTCCGCATGGCCTTTTGGAACGTGCATCAGCGACGTCTGGGGTCGTGCATGGCCGACGTGGGTGTATGCACGATAGCAGCAGGATGCCCGGCTCTCCGATCTCAGATTGCTCGTCGTGCCCAGATTCGTGATGGGTCTGGATGTCTTATGGCGGCGAGGACGACACGACGATTTTGGATGTTGATAATGGTGGTACAAGATAGCTCGTGGGGTTGGCATGCCCGTTGTTGGTGAAGTGGGTCGTCTATTACAATAGATAAAACTATGCTAAATAAAATTGTCGGACTTTCTTCGTTGTGTGTACTCGGTTGAGGGACTTGATTTAGGCAGGCGGAGGCAGGAGCGCGATCCGCGGGACGAGGTGACGTCGCGGCCACTCGTGTTGGGCGAGGAGCTGGAGAAGACTACGAAGAGCAGGCTGCTCGGGCTCTTGTACGAGGCTGTGGTGCACGTGCAGTTGAGCGACACGTGCCGCCTTGACGGCAATCGTCCATGGACTTGGCAGCGGTAGGTCGGCGCGGAAGACGCGGTCGTTCCGGACTCGCCAGACGTTGAACCAGACGCAGGCGCGGAGCACGGGCCAGGCCAGGTTGGCATGCCCGTGCCGCGACATTAATTTTCACCAGAAGTGAGAATCTAGCAGCGTCCACCCTTCAGACGACAACCGCGTACCCTAGCCCCACAACCTCGTGGATCGCGTCGACGAATGCGGCTCGGAGCACTGGACTGTTTTTGTCGTATCATGCAGATGCCATAAGATCGACGGGCAGGCTGAGTCCTTACCTTGTGGTCGTGGATGATGATGCTTTGCAGTCCGACGCGGGTGGCTGGTGCCACCGAGTATTGTGCACACTAGTACTACAGACAAGGGTCAATCAATACACAGTCTATCAACCTTGCTATCGACGACAGCGACGCCACAAAAGTAACTTGAATAGAGCTGAAAGGCGACGACTGTGCGTCTATTTCGCCCGTACCGTCATCAAACATACTAGTAAAGCTGACAAGACGATGAACTAGTACAGAAGAAAAATACGACGGCTGTGAGAGGCGAGACCAAAGACAACACTTTTGGCGATCCCTCGCGTTACCTGCTGCATCGTTACGCATTCATTTTGTACGTTCGACCGCGCGTGGCCAGATGTATAGGGCGAGGCTGCCAAATTCCAGAGATTTGGCAGCCTCGCCCAAATAGTACGACGCCTCTTCTTGACGTCGGTGTCTCGCATGGGATGTTGTTCTTCGCATCCCGGTATACGATGATATTGTGCCTTCACCGGGTGTCTTTTCCGGGCCTTGCGAGGCAGGGGTACATACCGTATTTTGTACCCCTGTTGCGAGGCGTGTTTGTCCTTGGAGCGCCGAACGGCCTTTGCACGCACATCAAAGCACACGATGGAAACGAGCATTTTTCTGCCCGAGCCGACCTCGCTCGTCGCTTAACGAAGTGACATACTACTATCCACGCGTCGTACGTATCCACACATCTATTCATCTTTTAACAAAGGCGAATACCCGTGGTGGGTCCGTTCCGTGCACGGTACACCATCCTTTGTGACCGACCACGTCGTCCGCGCCAAGTACTACAAGACAATCGCCATCCCCATGGTCGGCTATTGAAGGTTCTTACCCGCAGCACGCTCGCATCCCTCGGTCGCCGCCGCACATCAAGGTTGTTGTGTCTGGTTTGGGCGGGAGCCACCACAAGGTGTACTGTCGACAATTCGCACGTTGCCGCGTTCGCCAACCCTTTGTCGTAGCTCGAGTCACCTCTTGAATGGAATCCTTGCGCTTGACCTCGTCATCGCAGCCACCAAATTAAACGTGATCACGTGTGCGTGCGTTGTAGGTTGAAGGGTGTTGTAGGCGTTATGCCCCAAATAGAACATCCACCGAGATAGACACTTGACAAGTTTGACATATTACGATAAAGCGGAATGCCGAACGCGGTGGTGGGTCCAAGTGCAGAGCTAATGCAAGCAGCCAAGCCGCCGCCGCGCGTACAGCGTCACCGAGGAGCCCTCTCGATCAGCCTCATCATGCTCGTCAACCTTCTCGCCATGGTCACTCATTGACTGTCGATGATAATATGCATGCTGCTCACGCTCTCGTAGCCGTTCAAAGCATATCTCTCCGAGCCATTTCCATGGGACGTCGACACGACGATCCCATCGTCGTCCAGCAATTTTACAGCATTTAACATCTCGGCCTTGGCGCGCTACCAACGCGACTATAATCGGAGTGGACTGCCGCACGGCACGACGTTTTACCTCGACACGGCCCAGAGCTTGCAAGTGCTGCGAACCGTTCTCGAGACGAGCCACAAACCGCTTCTATCCGCCGATGACTGCCATAGACACTTTCTCGTTGGGCTGCCCGGTGCGATCTACTTTAGCAAAAACATGCGATCGCTCGTGTGTGCGTTCGCTGCTGCCGACCACGAGCAGCGTAATGCGAGCTGGAGCACCCGAGGAACCTGCGCCCACTCGCGCATGCTGACCATCAACCTCGGCGAAGCGTGCCTCTGGTTAGCGGCCGGAGATGACGTGGTCGGTCGCGACACCAACGGCACGTACACGTTGTACTACGTCCTGCGCATCTACGCGTATCCCGAGTGGCTCTGGCTCAAGCTCGTGTATCGACTATGCTTGACGTGCTATGTACTCTTGCTGCTCTGGCGCCGGTACTATGGTCCGTACGTCCAGCTCGAGCGCGTCCTTACTGTCCACGGTCACCGCACCGACTTGGAAAATCTTGGTGCGTGGCGCTATAAAATCGTGCTCGGCGACCCGACGGCGCTGGTCCTGATGAGCACCCACGTCGCGCTCGCCTTTCTGGTCGACATTTGGATCAGCTCAGACACGCTCGGCGTGGCGATTCTTCGGTCGAGCCAAAACCAGGACCTGCCGCTGCTTCTCATCTCGTTCTTGTACCTCTCCCGCGTCGTACGAACAAGGTCTTATCGTTGATTGTTGACGTGTCGTTGTGTATGTAGGTTTGGATCGCGTATGCAGCGATCTGCCTCGTTTCGCGCTGGCTCAAGCGCAGCGGCAGCAAGCGGCGATTCTCCCAAATCGACCCGACACTGTTGGCGGTCGTCGTCTCGATCTATGGCCCGCTTCTGACGTGGCTTGGCAGCAACGTGAGCTTTTTCCTATCGACCTACAGCTACCTCCTCGATTGCCTTGTCTCGGACCAAGACGAAGCAATCGAAGTGTTTCTCGTTGCCATCTTTTATATGGTTCTCATGGGTAGCATGCCGCTCCTGTACGGCTTTGGCGTTCCTTATCTGCGTACGACGACGCACATCATGCAAACTGAGCTCGCACACTTTGATGTAGGCCATCGAAAAGTTGCGCCACTCACTCGGTCTTTCTACGCAAGCTGGCGCAACAACAATGCAAAGAACCGGCTTTTGTTTACCGCCTTTTGTATCAATCGCCGGCGCAACGACGACAGCGATCTCGTCTCGCTCGGTGGGACGCTCTACTCGATCTTTGATCTCAACCCAAGGTACCAAGCGTCGCCGGCGATTTGCAGCCGCGCCGCCGATGTCTTTGTCCTCTGCTATGAACGTGACGTTCTCCGAACCAAGATCCGACTGAGTCTCTTGTCCAACTTGGATTGCACTGCCTCGCAGCACCTCGCGGCGATTCCCGACGCCGACAGTCCCTCGCACTACATTGTCAACGAGCTTATACGCCCCCTTGCCGAAACGTTTGCGTCAGAGACACTGGAAAAACCACAGCGGACGTCAGCTGCCGCGCCGCTCTGCATTGCTCGACCCAAACTACAATCTGAGTGGTGCATGTAGCGCCATCAAACTCGACATATTTTGAGTTTTTTTCAACATACTAGTCTTTCTGGTCTCGCAAGTAAAAACACATTGTGTATAGCTCTCTCCTTTCTCGTACTACCCTACGTTGGCTACCGCTGCTACGCTCGAGTTCCCAATGTGGTAACCTCAGGTATCAGAACCCTAACCCGCCCTAGCCGTCAAGACGCTTCGCGATACAATTCTGGTACCTGGAAGTGAACACCGCATAGTACTACATTCGAATGACACGGTTCGATGTAAACGACCCTATCGAACCAAATGACGAGTGTCACAGGCACCACGGCGATGGAGAACGCGCGCGCAGCAGCCGCGGGCGTGAGAGTTTCTCGTTGAATGCTTGTCGACTCGGCAGCTCGAGCTCGTTGAAGCGCAACGTCGAGACGCCAGAGTCAACGCAAAGATGAGGCTCGTCGCTTTGCAGATCGAGGTACTCGAGGAGACTGAGTCGGAGCTTGGCCTCGAGTCGGTGGTTGCAGTAGCAGAGTACAAAACAGTCCGAGCTGCCCGTGTTGATGACGGGCAGTGCCTTGTAGCGCGCGTTTGCTTCACAAAGCTCATGAATGCTGCCGCCAAGGCCCCGCTCGTCCTGCATATGCAGCGGTCGAATGTACGAGAGGAGCAGGCGGTTGGTCAGTGCGTTGTAGCCGGCGCTGCTGTAGCGCATGCTCGACGGGCGCTGCCGGCGCCAGAGCCCCACGGCGCCATAGAGCAGCGGCGCCATGGCAATGATCACAATGTAAGCAGAGCCAACGATCGCGACTTCGATCCGATATGCATAAGTGGTCGGGAAGAGACACCAAAGGAGGTACTGGTACGCCGTCAAGAAGCTCGGGACGACGGCCGTGCCATACCATAAGAAGGGACCGAGAATTTTTTTAAAGAGACTTTGGAGCGTCGGGTCGACTTGGAGGAAGAAGCGCTCGAGGTGGTACCGCTTGAGGAATGCGTTGGTCGTTGTGAGCGCAAAGCACGCAAACCACACCTACATAAATCGTCGAAAATAGAATAGACATAAATTGTCCATACCATGCGACACAGATACAGGGCCGCTTTGAACGTCGCCCAGAGATCGTCGACTTGAAGCAGACGCAACACTGCAACGGCGACCATGTGTGGGCTGAGCGAGAAATCAACGAAGAAGGCCGTAACGACGTACGCGTCAACGACCAGCGGCGCCGTCGGATCGCCGAGGACGACCACGTAGTGCCACAACGCATCTCGCGCCAAGTCGTCCCGGTGACCACGCCGCGTCAGCGCGGTGGCCATATCTTTGCACAAGCTATAGTACCGGCGCCACAGCAGCAGCAGAAGGAACGCTGTGGTGCCAAGACGCCACGTCAATTTGAACCAAACGAGCACCGGGTACGTACGTCAGCGTGTACACAATGTCGTCATGCGTCGTGTTGGCCAGGTCGTTGCCGCTCGAGAGCCAAATGCATTGGTGTGAGAGCGGTACCGCAATGAAGCTCACGACAACACACGTGCCGCGTCCATGCCAAGAAGAGGAGGCATCCGTGTCGTTTGCAAAGGCTTGCAGGAGCTCAAGCATCGCGCGGCCGTAAAAGAGAACCCCCGGGAGCTCCGAGAAGAGCAGCGGGCTGGTCGTTGAAATGACGTGGCGGCACACGTGGGCGTTGCGAGAGACGTCGAAATAGTACGGTGCGCCGAGCGGCAGCGTCGAGCGGGTGTAGAGCGCTTGGTGCATCGCGAGGGCCGTTTGGTTGAAGCGCGTGAGGTTACTGAAGTCGTGGGGCACGGGTAGTGCGGTTGCCCACGGCAGTGTCTCGGAAATGTACGCTTCAAACGGCTAGGCAACATCCCACTCAGTGCACTGCGTGGAGACACGAAGAAATTGGAGTGTTAGTTGGAGAGACTGCACACTGAGCGAAGCTCATGTGTACATTCTAGAAAGGATGTGCAATATGGGACAAGAACTATGGTACACATTGTCGGGCCATAAGGATGATGAGATGAGGACGCCACCCATGACGTCACTATGGGACAAGGACATTATGGAGCAGGACTATTGCACTTGTGCCTGCACAGCAGCCGATGGGCAGTAGCTTGCTCTGCACTGTCCCTGTTGAGAGGAGCATTCATATGGAGATGAGTATAAGGCCTTGCATGAGTGTTCTAGAATTACCACAAGAGTGTATGTCATATGCATGTTTTGGGCGGTGATAACCAGGGTAGGCTGAGGTTAAGCTGTGCGCTCTCACTTCACAATTTACCCAACTTTGAGCCCTTCACGGTAGCAATAAGTTTCTTCAATATGGAGTACCATGGCACCGATCAAGCACGAGACGAGGACGCTGAGTGCTAAAGCGCCCATGTGGTACGCCACTTCAAATCGCGGCACAGCATCCGGCGACGGCTCGACACCGACCTTGGACGACCGCATTTGAAGCAAGCGTTGAAGAGTGGTGTCTGGCAGTGGCGTTGACGAGGATCTATTTTCGTGAAGGACAATCAGACGACGCAACCCTATCTTTAGCCATTGCAAGATAAAGGCAACAACGTTGTAAGGACTAAATGTCCTCAGGGGTGTCCTGCGCAAGAGTGTCCGCATCCTACATCAAAACTAGACTTGCGCGAGTACGCGGACCTTGGTGCCAACCTGTGTTTCGAGGGACTTGTATTATGTGGTTCAAGTTGACACCAATTGTTTCATTGTGTAGGCTGTAGCAAGAGGCAAAGCGATGATGTTTGTTATATTTCCCTGTTAGTGTTAGGTCTGGGAGGGTTCACGTTTAACCCTCCCAGACTGTCGGCACCCGTCCTACGTGGTCGTGTGCATATGCTAGACATGCTTCGGCACTCGTCGTCGACTTTAAGTGCACAAAGACAGCCAGCCACTTCATCAAATTACGGTATTCTATACGCCATTTACCACATCTTCGACGTCATGCAGCCGCGCCAAATGCTGGATGTACGTACACCAACGGGTATACTTCCAAGATTGCATTTTTCAATAGCGACGGGGACAAACGCAGCAGCGGCTTTGGTAGCAGCTTGAACGGCTAGCGTGTGGCGCTGGCGGACATCCCACCATTGCGTTCTATTCGCTAATTTTGTGGGCGTGGCATCCTTCCTTCGCCATGACGTGGCGGCACCTCGCAGTTGGCAATTACATCTGTTGGCGTATCTTGCTTGGTGGTGGACCATATCGGATCCAAGGCAGCTGGAATAAAATACGGCTCGTCGTGCCATCCATCGTCCTGTCCCTTTGACGGGTCATGTCCTGTCAAACATAAATTCGTTTTGTTGCGCCATGTCCCATACTACTAGTATATCTATCCTGCAGTGCAAGCGCATTTTGGTATTCTTGAAAGAGTCGAAGGACATGGCCGCCTCGATCCCGTTTGTTCCCATGCGCAGCCGTGTCACGGAGGCTGGCCTCATGGCTGCGATCCACGAGTTCAAGCGGCGCGAGGCCAACGGCGACGACGACGACCTGCTCATTGCCCAAAACGTGCTTCTCCGCCGCTGGCTGGACGGTCCTTATTCCAGTGGCGCGGTCTTCCGAGCGACGTACGATGGCGACGTCATTACCAAGACGACCCGCGGCGACATTTACATGACCGAGGTGCCTGGCGAAGTGCACCAGATGGCGATTCAGCGTCTGGACCGCGTTCTGGACGACGCCTTGACGGATACGCCGTTAGAGTGCGTCATGGGCGTAGGTGTCCTCCATGCTGGCACCGTCCGCACACCCGACCTCGCGATTAGACCAACGCACGCGGTCCTCGGCGACGCCATCAGCACTCTGCCCCGCTGCATGATCGAGGTCACCGTCACGCACCGCACGTCGTTCAATCGGCACGACCGAGATACGCGCGCGCTCTTCCGCGAGTTTCCCCCGCTCCAGACAGTCCTTGTCCTCGTCCTCTACCCGTTGCGGGACG